CTCTAGTTGGGTCACATGAGTGTATAATTGAGAAATGGAATAATATCACTTGTAAGCAGTTATCATAAGTTTAATATGTATAATTTTGAAATTAACTGTATACAACTAAATAAGTTTTTAGAGGTTCTTAAATCAAGCATATTTAAATTTAAAATAGAAATTGTTTCTGCCCTTCCCAAATTGCCAAAAATATATTCTCGTCTGCTCTTTTAAATTCTTGTGATCCAAAAAAAAAATCGGTTCAAATGGTTGATGACCTCTACTCTAAACTGTAAATCACTATCGATAAATAATTCTTAATGCATCATAAATTCTCACTCCCTGAAGTATTGTGTAGCCTATTTCCTAGAACATGCGCTAAATTCATTCTGAAACAGTCTCAGCAGACGATTTCTTCGAAATTCTATTGTGTGTTGAAGAACAACAACGAAAGTGAAATATAATCGTGTTCTCCCCTCACGAAAGCAAGTGAAATGCGAGCAGAAATAAAAAAATATTTCCTAACACGCCGGCTGTTTCACTGAATTTTTTTTCCCCTGCTGTCTCATTTAGAGCTGGCAAGTGAGTTCAGTACTTGCGTGCTCATCTAACACATAGTGGGTCATCTTTCTCATTTTTCACTTACATGCCAGGAAACGGTTTAGTTACGGCTATCGTCGCTGGAGATATATAAATAAAAAAAAATGTCGCGTCATAAATTGCTTTTGAGTTGTTCGTCATTATTTAACCCCATGTGTACGTATATAAGGATGCTATATGTTTGAATTGAGCTCTAATTTTCTTTTTAAGTATTAATGTTAACGAGTGACTCATCTTACACTATATGTCCAAGTCTGCATTCAATTACAAAAATAAAAAAAATTTTTAGCTTCATCTTTTTTATTGCAGTACATTTGTGTATAATCAAAATCATCTCTCATTATACATTATAAAAGTAAAACGTTGTAGTCTAAATTTTTAAAAATAAAAAAAACGTAATATAGGTGAAGAGTTGCTACTGTTAACGCTAGTCTAGTTTTGTTCTTTCAAATTAATAAATAAAAAAAATAAGACATTGCATTTTTATAGTGCTGTAGATTTTTGAGGGGAGTTGATTTTCTGCCCTAACATGTTAAAACGATTGATGTACCGATTTGAATAAAATACTGATTAGATTTTTTAAAAGTTCTTTTCCCTTTGTTCCTCTAATTTAAAATGCATATTTTTTTTCTTCTTTTTTTTGATAAGTGTTTGAGAATGTTAAAATCAGCACACAAAAAAAGCGTTAGTATTGATATTGTATTTTTTGTTAAGAGATAATTGAGTATGCTTTTACTGAAATGTTTTAATTTGCTTTCAAGAGAAGACTTAAGTTACTCGTCGATTGTTGTTAGTAATGATGTTGCTTTTCAATGAAGTCTGCAAAATATTTAGACTTAAGTAAGACCTTTTCCTAAGAAATCTTTTATCTTTCTAAAATGTCATTTAAAAACAGCATTCACTATGCTCTTAAACTATAATTGAAAGGGGAAGAAAGCAAATCAGTTCATATAAGCATAAACTGGGTGCGGAGAAAATCGCATTTGATTCTGCCTTTTATGGCTTATCAGCAGTAGACAACCTATTTTATTTCCATAAAAATAAAGTATATAATTGATTACAAAGATAATTCTATTTTGATCTAAGGTTACTGTGCCGAATTTCTTTGATTAAAAAGGATTATATTCTGGAAGTTTAAGGGACGCAGTGTTCGTGTTTGTAGCATTTCCTAAAAAGGCCAGTTTCCGGAACGGACGTCGGCCATGCTTCCGTCGAGGCGAGTTGAGTTGAACGATCCCATCTCATTTATTCATTCGAGTTGAGTTTGTCTTTTTCATAACTTAATTGCTTTTCCTGTCTGATACACCTGTGCGCATGGCATTCTAAATAAATTTTTCATAATTTTGTTTTATTCTCCATCCTGTAATTGCCTTTTGATGAAAATAGGTAGATACATTTACTTGTTTTTGTTGGATAGTTAATGAAATATTAATTAAATGTTGATTTATTTAAACTGATACTTTGTCACTCATTATCTACGATTATTCATTAATTTTATTTCAAAACCTTGGCTCATATTTGTATTTGATATTTCTTGTCGCTTTGACCTAACCAGCGAGATTCGCTATCCACATTCGTTAATTTTGCTTTTGAAATATGCGAATGAATAAGCGAGTATAATTATTTGATTTAACAATTAGAAATAAAACTTTTTATTTACAACTTGAAGCATTCGTTATGTATTAAACATTTATTATTTTTATTTTATTTAACTTACAAAAACTTAATAAATCAGAAGTTGCATTTAATTATGTTATTTTGATTTATCCCTAGTTAAACTTAAATTAGTGTTCCTCTGTTGCTCCGTAACTACAAATTAACGTAATCAACTCATAAACTACTAATTTAAGACGTGCTTAATTTTATATATTTCTCTCACTGATGTTGAACAGTTAGCATAGTTTAAGGTAAGGCTCAACGGTGTTGTCCCGCACGTGATGCCTGAAATGAATTAATATTATTGGCTACCCGCAAGTGACGTCATCGTTGGTAAATCGTGGTATTTGTCGATCCAGAAGCCAATCACGCTTGACGTCGCTTACACATATCCAATTAAATTTGATTTAAATCGCATGATAATCACTTCACTTTACGAGTGTACCAAATACTCAATTGTCAAATAAATAGAAGCTTTTGTAAATATTTTAGAATGAATGCATAAAAATAGTTATATTCATAAATAAAAACTTGTATAAAATTACGATTCCTGATTGCGACCCTGACACAGAATTTTAAGTTTTTATTAAAATATCGATAAGGGATAAAATTTTTAACTTTATCAATCTTCGAACTTATTTAAGATTAATTCCACGGTTGGAGAGCAGTTAGATTTAATAATTTGAACTTTTTTTTAATGAATATAAATAAAATAATTTTTATGTATTTTCATGTAAATAATTTTATTCATGTTCCTAAAAACACCTGTATAAAAATATAATTTTTATTATCCTTGTGTCGTGGAATTGCCTTTAAGTTTTTATTGCATTATAGATGTGTTATTTAAATTTTGCTGTCTTAATGCGTATTAAAGGGGATTTCACAGCGGAGGGACAGTTGGAAATTAAAATTTCATTTCAGATTTTTTTTGAAATGTGAAAAAAAATATTTTTATGCATTCGTACTTTGTATTTATGTCTGAAATATATTAATTTTGTGAGTCACGCGGCCGACAAAACTGAGGAATCGTCCTAAAGTTTTATACTAAAATCCCGATTTTGAAATTTCAGTTCTATAATCGAACAATTTATATGAATGTTTAACCCTATTTTGGATGAATTCGTTTAAAAATTTCAGCAATTCGCGATCAATTTTTAGGAAATCTTTTGATTAGCTGCATCAATTTACGTTCTTTAATTACTGTGTGAATTTGCTTCACTGCCTAAGTTCTATGCTTGCAGGAAAGCAGTTTTACAAGGATTATTTCCTGACTCGTAGTGAAACCGCGTAGATAGATTATTAGTTTTTTCCAGAAATTCCTTTTGAAAATTGAAAATTTTTTTTCTCTTAAAAAATTATATCAGTTATACCATTTAATTTATTAGATGCATGTGAATCGGGAGTTTTATATTATTAGAGTTTTTAATTTTAGTTTTACTTAGCATTATTTATTTAACTGCATTATTCCCATGATTTATACATTCTATTATTCTTGTGTAATTTTGTTATTTCTTTTAATAGAGATTGATATTTAAATAAAGTTTTATAGTTGTTATTGTAATAAAAGAAATGCATTTTAAATGTACGAGCTTTAAAATAAAAATTAATGTTCAAAATGTCGTTCGTAAATATAGTTTTAAACTTGCGAAATTTATCTTTTCCAACAGATTATCGTAAATTATGTTATTATAGTTTATTATAAGATCAAAAATAAATTTTGTAAATATAAATAGGAACAAAAATATATAAAATAAATTCCCCATTACTGTTGTATCATCCACACTCCTTGTATTACCAATATTGTTTTTTTAATTGAAGTATGTGTGTATATTAATTTAAATTTGTATTCTTTATTTATTTGCAAGATCGCTTATAAAACTTTGTTCCTGTACTAAAACACAATTATCCCCGCTAAATATTTTCAATTCGCTTTTGTAAAATTGTAGAAAAATATTTTTTGTCATATTTATAATCATAATCAATCATCAATATTCTATATTCAACTTTAAAAATTGTGCTTGCTAATAGTTTGCGAAGTTTTAAATTCAGATTCCGTAGAATTCTTGATAAAGTGTATGTGAGTTTAATGCTTTGTTTAAAATAGAATACGTATTGAAATATATTTGTAATAAAAAAATTCTTTTATAAAAATATTTTCAATAATTCAAATATTTTCAAGTTCATCTGGTAACGTATTTTAAGTATTACTACGTTACTTTTTTTCTTATGTAATAATTTTATAGTTTTTCTTAACAAATAAAACACTCTCCGGTTAGTTAAAATATTAAAAGATTGTGGAGGAGGAAGATTTTGATCTTTTGAAACATTTTTAGACAAATATTTATGATCATGCAAACAAGAATAATACTAGAATGAATATTATGAGAATATTTGAATTATAACTTCAGGAAATTAATTAACTTTTAATATTAAATGTTTTGCATAGTTTCAATATTTTCTACAAATATATTTTTTTTTAAAATTTTTACTTTGATTGTTATGTAATTTTAAATTGCCTTTTACTTTAAACGTATGAAAAAAGTAGAAATCGACAATTGTTTAATTATAATGTTAATACTTTCCTTGGATTAGATGAAATTTTAATTGAGTATTAGTCGGATTTAGAATCTACTTTGGCGTTGAACATTTCACCTACCAACTATAGAGCTTTGTTTCTGAGGAATTTATATGTCTGATTTTCGAGATTAACCTTTCCGGATTTATGAGATTGTTCATGTCGGATTATTCACTTCCGGTTGTTTGAACTAATTCATTCCAGTGGACTTGTAACTCATATTCCGGAATCGTAAGATGATACTTTCGAATAGATTGGGTTAATATTTAACCTATATATATAACCTAGGTTTATTGTGAGAAAATTGTTTGAGAAAATCATTTGTGTGTGCTCACTCGAATATTTCATCTTATTTTGGGTTAATTTTGTGGTTGTTAGCATTTGTTGGTTTAAGTAAAGGTAAATGATTTTTACTCGTTCTTTTTCATTCACATTAAGCTATGATTGAATTAGGTAAGTAATAATTTTAACCTTTGATGTAGAATTTTTATTAAACATATTTTTCATGCTTTTTTATTATTATTTTATATTAATTTAGGTCAAAATAAGTAAAAAATATTAGTTAGCTTTTTAATAATTTATGGTTATGAATATTTTGCATGAAACATCGTTGTCTTTTTCTACGTTAAAGGTAAAATCTTCCAAATACTGCTAACTTCCAGTCAATAATTAATTTGCAGTTATTCTAATCTAAATGGAACAGTTATTCATCATTGAAATTTCTTTAATTTACGAAATGAATTATTGATAAATATTTTAAACATGATTCAAAGAAATATATCAAACAATTTCTTATTATTTATTATTTTAATTCAAATATACTTTCGATAATGTAACAGATTTTTTTAGTAACTATTCGACTTTTTTATAATTAAAAATTACCAAAATATATATTTTATTGTAATTAAGCATCAGAAAAAAAATATATATGTAAAGGGACACCGGTGTTCCAGGCGCTTCAAAGGAATAAAAGATTTCAGATTTTCGAAGTGAATTACTACGGATAATCATTGTTCTAGAATGTTATTGGGCTATTTTAATATAAAATTTAGTCATTTACGAGCTAATACAAAGGTAACCACACGTTTTTTTTTTTTTTTTAAATTGAAATTTGGTTACTGCATGTGCTAGATAACTGCGGCAGAACTAGATAACTGAGTTTATTTAAGAANGCATTGTCATGGTTAAAAAGTCTAATAACTGCATATTTTTAAGTAAAAAATCAAGAATCAGACATTATATTCAAAGAAGATCACCAGGTAATTCTGCCTTCAATTATAGTCCATTTTTGTATTAATATTTAATTTTTTGGGCACGTAACAAAACTAAGCATTAAAATATTTATTAATAAAGACTGCGCGAAGATCACGTTTTTAACTTCAAAAACTAGATTTTTTTTTTTTAATTCCCAGAATTTTAAATTTTTCTAGAATTTTAAAATAATTATTAAAGATTTGATACAAAAGGGTTTACCTATTGAAGATTTGATACGAAAGGGTTTACCATAGCTGTTACTTTTAAAAATAATTCTTTTTCAATTATAAATGCAAACGATTTTTTTTACTTTTCATTCGATTATTTACTTCGCAGAGGCTTCATGGTTTTTAATCAATGCCTTTACTGTTCCGGATGTTGGTTAAAATGTTTTGTCAAAGTTTTGACAAGATGAGAATGATCTATCTATGTATTAGAAAAAAATAATAATCCAACATTTTACCGTAACTTCCAAATAATTGCTTGTTAGAAATAGAAGCCCTACAGATATAAATTCTTTGAACATTATCATAGCTTGTTTGGCGACGGCTCGACGTAAGGTCTTCCAAAATAACACATTTTTCATTATTTTGCCACTAGTTACATAGCGGCACGTACTAAATTTCACCTGTAGGCGCTTTGCCCTTTAGGTGCCAAACTTGTAATCTGAAATAAATAGTTTCATCTACGCCATTCCAACTAAGAAGAACTAACGTTGCTATGTATTTATTTTTTTTATATCTTATAACTCCTGTACAGAGAATGAAAGCCATTTTGCAAATGCCTTTTAATTGGACTTGTAGTAGTGATGGATATTCCTAGCTTATTGATTAGTTTAAGATATAAATGGCATCCTGTTTGGCGATCGCCAAAAGCATAGTAGATTTTACTGACTTAAAGGAGTAATTTATTTTCTGCACGTCCTTATCGAATAGGGAATTGCATATCCGATTTTTCATCGTTTCAAAAAGTATCTTGTGATTTATATTTTCAGTATGTTTTATGTTTACGGTTTCAAATAATCGTTTTTCAAACATAATTTGTAATTTACTAATTTTTTTAATTATCAATTGTTTACAATTTATTATCTCTCCAATTTGTTTAATAAAATTATTTGTGAAAGATATTTAATGACGACAAACTGATGAAAACGAATCATCCCCCCCCCCCTTTTTTTAATGTTTTATTCTTTTAAGTAATTGTGCTTTTATATATTCAAACAACAGTTAGCTTCTTTAACCAGAGTGATTTTAAATCATAGCTTTTCTGTCTAATTCAGCTAAGTAAACTTTACTTTTAGATTGAATAAAAATGGTGAGAGTTTACATAAAAAAAACTTTTTTTTTTTGCGGGATGAAATTTGAAAACTATATTTCTGTATTATCACTTTAGACCAATACGTTAAAAAATATTTGATACAGTTTTCTCTCTTATTAAATATATGATTCTTTTTTTTATTTTTTATGCCTTTCCAAAGTGATTGTCTATTTAGCCCAATTGGGTGATGATTTATTATTTTTTTTTATTATTTTCAATTTGTGAAGTTTGGTTACTTGTTTTAATTCTATAAAAATACATGAATCTTTTTTTTATAAGATTTCGATTGTCAAAGAGAACAAAGAGTGTATTTTTCTAATCACCTTAAGTAAATTTTGATTTCATTTTCATGTTTTTATTTCTATTTTTTCCCCCTTAAATTTACTCTATTGTTAAATATTATGCAAATTTATATGTTTGAAATGCACCATTTATTTAAACGAACTGAAGAAAAATACGGATAAATCCTGTTGCTTACAGTTATTACATTTTTTTTGTTAAATCATTAATATGTATATTTCTCGTTCCTGTTTATAGTTCAATTTATCATACAACAGATAAGTAAAAAGAATTATATGGGAATAAATAAAAGTTTAACGGAGGCACTGAATTTTAAAGTGTGCAAATCTTCTACATTTCCAAACATATCCCATGAGGCTCTACTGAGACTGAGGAGAAGTAATTTTTTTTTAATGAAATTTGCTGTGAGTGGCATAGAAATCTTTTCAATACTCGTTTGCTGAATTTTACTTTTAGTGTCAGTAACACAATTTTTCATTGCAATTCTTTTACTATGTGCTCCGTCAATTTTGAAGTACTCGCTTTCTATGAACACTATACTGGTAGTGGCAGCTGAATGTTGTTAAGTGCTCTTAAGAAAAATATTTCAAACACCTAGCAGATCGAAAGTCTCAATCTTCATTGTAAATTTAGTCACGGGTCTCTTTCCTTCCTTCCTCATTGGTGCTCTCAACATATTGAATTATAACATTCATTCTTTACCCTAAAATGATAGAGAACTCTTCAGAGTTGAAAAGTTAAATAAAAGATTTTTAAATCTTGGAGCATCTGTTATTATCGTCTGGCAGGTATTTTTTTTTTATTTTATTCGATATATATACTGTATAGATGTCTTCAGAACCCTTCACAATAGCAGAAAAATAAAATTTGCGAAAATGAATGTCACAGAGATAAAAATGTAAAAGTTTTTGCGAACACAAAATCTCAAATAAAAAACTTTCCGCCAGCAATTGATTAACTCTTGTAACTAGTCTTGTAACGCGATATTTGATATAAAATCGTGAAAATATATAACACTATGTGCGATCTGAAATCGCGAAAAATACGAATCGCGAAGTGTAATAGCGTTTTCTTTGGTTGGAAAAAAGCGTAATAATTGATCTTTTTTTCCTATTATTATTAATTTGAAAAAAAGCGGAAAACATCCCTGATACCAGCATGCTTGAAAGTCAAATGCAATGATGCAATTGCGGGAAAAGTGCGGCTGCGAGAAGGATTAAAAAAAATTCTTGAACGGTGCTCGCGTATGTTATACATATTTGAGAGTGTTAATAAAAAAAAATTCATTAAAATGGTGCGTTTACCCACCTTTCAAGCTGGGTTAAACAATATTTCTTCGAGAAACTTAGATTGTGTGGCAGTCGTTAAAATACGAGGCGCATCCAGAAAGTAAGTTTCCCTAATTTATAAAAAAAAAGGAACTCATACTTTCAGGAATATATTTATTGGCAACAAGTACAGCAATGTTTCAGCTATGTTTCAACATAGCAACCACCAGAATTGAGACTTTGTCGTATCGTATCCCTCTGTCATAGAACTCTACCGCCTGTGAATGGAATCAGCGTGTGACAGACAGACGTCTTCAGCTCTTCGTCGTTGCCAAAACGTTTACTGGAGTACAGGAATTTCTAGAGGTGCAAGAAAACTTGAAAATCGCTGGGAGCAATATCAGGGCTGTAGAGTGGATGATCAAACAACTGCCAGCCAAATTCCGTCAAAACAGCTGATGTGCGTCATGCCGTATGTGGACAAGCATTGTCATGGAGGAGCGCAACGCCTGCAGTAAGCATTCCACGACTCTTGTTTTGAATGGCACGTCACAGTTTCCGCAGTGTTTCACAGTAACGGTAGACGTCTGTCACACGCGGGTTCCATTCACAGGCGGCAGAGTTCTATGACAGAGGGATACAAAAGTTGATCCCACGATACGACAAGTGTCTCAATTCCGGTTGTTGCTATGTTGAAAAATAGCTGAAACATTGCTGTACTTGTTGCCAATAAATATATTCCTAAAAGTGTGAGTTCTTTTTTTTTTTTTTATAAATTAGGGAAACTTACTTTTACTTTCCATTTGAGGATTTTCTTGAAATGTAAAAACACACTATTAAGAATTTTGGACAGCTTTAAACCGTGCAAATTTGCTACCAAGTTGAAACACATTATCGAACAATTGAATTTTTCTATTATTTAATTAGGTGTTAAATGGAACCGTGTTTCTGCTAAGTTGAACCATCTTTTCGTTAATTCAAATCAAAAAGAATATTTATAGATGCTTTATCTATACTAGAGTATTAAAGAAACGAGAAAAAAGGAGCGTTTTAATTGCATCCCAGTTTCACATCATTCGAGTTAAGCAGGATATTTCGTAGAACGTGATAATACTTCCTAAAAAGATAATATATAAATAGTTCTAAGATCTTAACGTGATGTATCCTAGGCAATACTATGTTTTTGTCAAACGTGCCCGGAGTGTTAAACATAGAATATTCCCCCAAAATATATCACTTAAAATCGTAACTTTGTGTAGGCTAGAATAAGGATTATAATCACAGACTTCAAAACTGAGAGACTTCAATCCGAGCTTCTAAAATAAATAAACAAATATTCGTAAACTTTTAAATTATAATTAGTGAATTACTAATATTGTGTAAATAGGTTATATGACATAGGGAAATTTTTTTATTTATTTGCCTCTTCGTGCATGAGTTTTTCCCCCATTAAGAAAGTAACATTTTCTTTTATCTAAATTAAAAACATGCAAAATAATTTATTCTTGTGTTATCTTTCTTCTTTTATAAGTTACTATAGTTCCAATCTAAAATGTACTATAATATGATTAAAAACGCAGTAATTATAGTCTTAAACGAACAATTTATAACAGCAGCTGATACGAAACCGATTCCGCTTACAAGAATTTTCTATGACTTCCTACAAAAATTCTACATTAGGATTGTTCTATCCAAGTACATTGTGTCACAATTTTTTTTTTGTTTTAAACTTTTTTTTTAAAATTTATTTACAGTTCACTGGTTTTCCTATTCATTGAGAGCTAATGATTCGCTTATAGGGTTTCTTCCCTCGTTTCTTTTATTCACTGACGTATATTCTCTTAGTAAATAGAATATACGCCTCAAAAATACGTGATTTCCCCACTCTCCAAACTTTTCCTCCCCACTTTGTTTTCCAGCTTTAAAGAAAACTTGCTTTCTTCACTGTATCCTGAATTGTTTTCATAACAAACAGTTGCCATAGCGACACGTTATTATTAATTGCTAAATGACTTCAGCTTTAAGTCACGCCCCTCTCTCACCAGATTTTGAACATGTTTCTGTGGCATCTAATGACTTTTTGTTGACTCATCTACACTATAAAAACTGTGATATAATATCTCTCTGAACTTAATGTTGGACAACCTAAAAATTTTGTGTTAAGGAAATCTTTATCTCAAATTAACACTAGACTCACCAGTATCATTCATTCACACCATACGTGAATTATTTTAATTTCCGAAATCACCAATGTTGGCGCACTTTAGATATCGTCAGTTACATACAATTGAGTACGAGTTGGCGTCAGTTTGTCCTCTATGCTGCTGTACATCTGCAGATATAAAAGTTAAGCGTCAAAATATGTTTGCATATTTTTAGTTGTGCATTAAGGTTAATTACATTTTATATCAATGTAAAATGTACTAAATGATTTTATAATGTATAATTCAATTAGCTTCTGTTCTGTTAATCTTAGTTTGAAGTCATCTTGGTATTTTCTCAGTGAAGTGCGTCTGTTTCATTTAGAAGCTGATTTTATCTTAAGAATTAGTGTGCGTATGGAACTATGTAACGTTGGAACTAAATGTTGTTCGTGAAAATAACTTTATTGATTCTTATGTGTGTCATATCTTACTATTATAATTTTTAATGTAACTAAGTAACTAAAATGGTGGCATCTTCTTTACACCAAATAGTGTAAAAGAACATTCTTGGCGTTTTACACATCGTCGGTACATGGTATAATAAAACTTCAAGAACCAAGAGTTATTTGTGGCATTAGTTTGGTATTGCCGCCATTTTTGGTGCTATTTTAAAATTCAACACTTAAATTTTTTTTACAGTATAGGTTTTTGTTTTTCAGATACTACAATGTCCATATCAAATGGTACCACGGGGGATAGCAATGGTCTGAAATGGACTGTCGGTCTACTGAACAGCCGGTACAAGTACCTCACAGCTGAAACGTTCGGCTGTAAAGTGAACGCAAATGGGGTTGCTTTAAAAAAGAAACAGCTCTGGAGTCTCGAACCCTACACTGGCGAATCAGAAGACGAGGCTGTGTGCCTGAAAAGCCATTTGAAAAAGTACCTAGCTGTAGATCAGTTCGGTAACGTAACGTGTGATTCCGAAGAACTGACGCAATATGCCAAGTTCAGGGTGGTGGTCAATGAGGATGGACGATGGGCACTGATCAACATAACGAGGGGATATTTTCTGGGTGCCAGCGACGATAAACTTATTTGTTCTGCAAAAGCTCCTGGAGAAAATGAACTGTGGACTGTCCATTTAGCGGCTAGACCTCAGGTAAGACAATTTTATATATTTGATTAGTAGTTTTAGTTGTGTGGGGCTGTCCATATATTTCGTTATAGTTTCCCTTTCTCCATTATGATATCAAATGTTATCATTTCACTTTTTTCACGGACCCCTATTTTTCTTTAAAGGCTCCTTAACTTGTTTACATTCTTTACGTAATAAATATCCTACTTATTCTAATGAGGTTCCCTCATATTTTTTTCTCTGTTAGAACACTGTTTTGCGTGTAAAAATTTCACGAGGATTTCACTTACGTAAATAATGTAATTATTACAAAGATGAGATGATAGAAATATTGAAATATGAAAAAATGGATAAATAAAAATGGACAACCGAAGCTGACGTCTTCAGGGGGTACCAGCTCCGGAAGTCATAAAAGCAAAACCTTTTCTATCGAGAGAGCACGACAAAAAGTCCAAAATAAGGTTTTTCCAAAGTCCAAGAAAAAAAATATAATACATAATATACAATATAAAATACATAAAACAAATACAGAAGAATAAAAACAAGACAAATACGTAAGAATAGTATGTATGCAAAAGTTTACTTGAAACAAAAATCCAATAACTAGATAACACAACTGACTGCGAGTCATAACTAAATTGAAATGAGATGATTTTTTTTAGGTCAAAATTCTGCTTTCATTTTTCAATTTAATAAAAAAAAATCCACTTTTCGAAAAAACATCTTTACGCTTTTTTTTCCTTCCGAGGTGAACGCAATTTAAAATTACATATCACGATTCGTAATCGCACCATTTAAAATCATACATCGCGATTCGTATTCACACGATTTAAAATTACACATCGTGATCTGTATTCACGCGATTTTAAGTTATACCCCATGATTAATATGCACAGAATTAAATAGAAAGTCGATATTTTTTTCATTAAAGCGTTAATATTCTTTGATTATATGCTATAGCTGACCGTGGGAGGTTTTCGTGGTATTTCTCTCCATGTAACAGAACGTAACGTAAATGCAGATTAGATCCATCGAAAAACGTAGCCTTCTACTAAGAAACTAGCCTCCACAAAGACTAATTTGCTAAATTTTTGATCCAGCAGTTGCCTTATCGTCTGCTTTATGCTCAAAATTATAAGGCTATGGAGATGAATGTAGATAAAGGTAAACAGAAAAATGGATCGGCTTTTCGGTGTCGATTATGAAATTAAGTACAGTAGAGATCCGATTATCCGGAACGATAGGGACCATCGCTATTCCGGATAACTTATTTTTCCGGTTTTCTGAATCGCTACAAAAAGCCGTTTTTTTATCGTTAAACCCAACTAAAAAAAATATATATATTTGGAAATTATCTTAAAAAGAAGAAAAAACGATGAAGTAATACACTAATGATTATTTCTAAACTGATGGTAAGGTAAGCATCTTTCAAAAAAGAAAGAAAATTCCTAAAATCTTATGAAGAAAAAAACATCTTTTTAAAAAAATCGCGGGAAAATGTATCGAATTTCGTTCCGATTTTTTGGTTTTCCGGTTTTCTGATTTCCGGATAACGGGTTTTGTACTGTATAAGTTTTGAAGACTTACATTTCTTATTCCCTTCTTCAATTTTGTTTTTAGGTGAATCTCCGTTCTATCGGACGTCGTCGATATGCCAGACTCTCGACCGAACAGGACGAAATCCAGGTTGATGCCAACACGCCATGGGGTGAAGATGCCCTATTCACCCTGGAATTCCGAGAGGGAAGGTATGCCATACATGCCTGCAACGGACATTATCTAAAAGCTGACGGGAAACTTACCGAGCAGTGTGAATGTCTGTTTGGATTAGAGTTCCACGGTGGTTATTTGGCACTCAGAGATCCTCAGGGTCGTTACGTCAGCCCGATCGGAAGTAAAGCTGTGCTGAGGACCCGATCGTCGACGGTTACCAAAGATGAGTTGTTTTCGCTAGAAGATTCCGTTCCACAAGCTGCCTTTGCTGGTTTCAATGGCAAACATGTGTCGGTAAAACAAGGTAAGCACTATTCTTTCGATGAAGTTGAATTTCATCTTCAATATTAAATTTTGATTGATTTTCTGGATGTATACTTTTTAAGGCACCCCCAGGTCAGGAAGAACCTGGAATTGATCATGGGGTTTTATTTTAACTCTTAAAAGTCAGGGGATAGTCAGAGAAAGTTGCATTTTTTTTCCATCATAAGGCTGGAAAATTCTTACAACCATAACCTGGAAAATAACTATCCTTAGAATTGTCAATAACTGTAACCAGTTATTGAGATTCGATTTAAATAATTCTAACATCAATTGCAATTATTTGTTGTAAAAATTCCAAATTTTAGGGAAATTTTTTCCATTTTTCCTTCCTCATTTGCTCACAAAATTTAATATGGTGCGTTGCGTTTTTAAAAAGTGCTGAAAGGTGCTTACTTACCTCTTTCGTTTTTTAAAAGCCCTTAAAGGTGCTTTTTTCATTGGGTGTTTTTAAAAAGTGCTTAATTTTCCCTTCTCGAAAAAAATTTTTTTCTTCTTCTTTACCAGGTCGATTTTCGCCACATATGGAAAAGTTTACTTTTCACATTGTTCTATTCAAAGTTTTCACAATTCATTCAATCACTATCTATTTCGGCGTACCGACGATCCATAGCGTATGAAAGCTCCAATCATTTTACATGTATGATGACTGAAATACTTGCAAGTCCGCATGTGAATATAGTGAGCTGGGTTCGGTGAGATTCTTGCACTCTCACGTGCAGCTCTGCTGCGTTTTGCAAGATAATCTCAATTTCAGGCTTCATTTTCCACCCTCTGATATCGAACCGAAAAAATCTTGATAATTTTTATAATGCTAATATAATCAAGAATAGAGTTTTTTTTGTCAGAACCTAGTTATTTTATCATGATCATGTAAATTCTTTGAAAATTATTTTGCATTTTGTTAATGTATATAGCGCTTAAAAATAATTTTTGAGTGCTTAAAAAAGTGCTTATTTTTTGTTGAGAGATTTGGCTACGTACCCTGAATATTTGACATTACAAATAAAAAAAAAAATCAAAGTTTTGCTATAAAGTTTTGTATGGTATCGCTAAAATATGGCCTAGATTTACATTGAATTTTTACTGAAATACCTGGAAAAGTCAGGGGATTTTTTTTTTTTTTTTTGCAATAAGTCGGAGATCTGGGTGCTATTCAACGACGGCGGGAACTGAAACAAGTTAACCAAAATGAATGGTTTATCATGTATCTTTTAAGCTACCACGAGCAGGTTTTGGGCAAAAATATGGGCACCCTTCTATACCAACTCTATGTAAACAATCTTTCCTTTAGTAGCAAATGTTTTTGGAAAATTTTACATGGCAAAACGGTTGGCACAAATTGAAAGATCATGCTAGAGTCCCCTTAACTCCAGGCTAATCGAGGGAATCCCTTTCCTCCAGGCTAACCGTTTTGCGGTTTTCCTCTCCACGTAACGCAAATGTGGGTTAGTTCCACCAAAAAAGTCTCAAAATTGGGCCGGCTGTTCAACAACGGTTGTAAAATTAAATATTTCATGCCATTTTCTGTAGTTGTAAGATACACATAAAGCTTAATTTTTTTGTAAGTGAAACACGGTTTCGTTACTTAAACTTAGGATCTATTTCCATGTAGTCTTGTGTAACACAAGTTTCTCTCTAAGGGTGGGTTTACAGTAAATTAAGTGTTTAATCGTATTGCGAGCTCTGCGTAAACACTTTCAGATAGATAAATTAAAATCTAAGATAATTTGCACCAATCAATAATCCCACTGTACATATTCATTATACAACTTTCTGAACGCTGCAGCTGCTGCAAGCTCAAATATCATCTTGATATCAAAAATTAATATCCTGGCCCCACCGCTATCACAGAATATTCCGATATCACAGAATATTCTTAGATGTTAAAAGCAGTAATAAGGGCATTAATACGAAAAGTAAGTAAATTAATAATACGTAACAAATAATAAGTAATGGTCATTAGTAATAACCCCCCTCCTAATTGTGTTTAAAATAAATATTTGATTTAAACAAAATGCATACATAAACAAAACGCATATGTCGAGTTTACTATAAAATGCAAGTTTAATTCGATATGCTGCATATTCCTGGTTTTTAATTTCTTCGCGAAGATTAAATATTCTTGAATTACAATAATTATTATAAAGATTATTAATGACGTTCAAAAATACTACAGTTTTAAAATAAGTTTTCGTTTCAAATTTGTTGAAGCAGAGAAAAGATTACTTCAGTTCATATCTGACACGATCTGCAAGTAAATTTCAAGGTGAAGCAAACGATTTTACTCTCATTACAATATTTGAATCAGGATATTGATAGATTATTGCTAAAATTAAAAAACCGTGACGTCTTTTGACAGGTAGGAAAGGATTTATAACAGCTCTGAAATACTTTAAGTAAATAAATGTCGTCTGCCACTTTTTATGATCCTCAATAATCTCCGTTTTTTCTTTTTCATTTGTACCTCTTATCAGAGAAGATCTTAATATCCTGTTCGCGAAATGGATCGTTTTCTTTAATCCTTTCATAGCCTGGCAACGGGAGTTTAACGAGAACAGAATGAGCCATGCGCAAAACTGACATTCTAATTTTTGCATATTATTTTGGCATGTAAAGAATTTTTCTCACGTTTAATTTATGTCCTTTCTATTCAAAATGGTGAAATTAAAGTTCCACAATTTTCTTCCTTTTTCCGCACCTTTTTTTCGTTTACATTTGAATTGAGTAAAAAGAAAAATAAAAAAATGTGATATGAAAACGCTAGTCTTAAACCTTAAATGTATGTAGTATTATCTATGCATTTTATTGGAATTATATGTAAAACAAATTCTAAACGCAACACAGATATGTATGTTTGAAGAAAAAAAATTTCCCATAAGCTTACAAACCATAAATCTATGTTATTAGTCTTAGAAAAAAAAAGAATTAAGTCAATACTAGTTTTATATAGAAATTTAAGAATGAAATTTATCTTAATCTTTTTATGTAATTTTCATAAGTCAGAATCAGTTTTAATTCCAAGAGTACTTGCCATTCCAGAGGATCGCGAATGCCCACACATGTGATCTATAACGTCACCGCATGCTGATCATTTATAAGTAAAATGGCACGTTTTGAGCTAAGTTCGAATGTTAATTAACGAGAAGTTAATTAAATACAGCGCCGTATCGCACAACGAATTTTTTGAAATATAATTATTTCTCGTCTACGTCTTTTACTTAGTTTAGATTTATTATTTGTTTATGTATTTTATTGTTAACCATGGTATACGTGGCAACTTCGATGCTTAATTAGTTCTACATGTACCCGTGCTTGTCTTTTTGTTAAGTAAGAAATATATAGTGAAAGAATTGAAATCGTTGTCAGAGAATTTAGAATTTGTCTAAACTTGACGAGCTTGGCTTACTCGAAATAGAATGAAAAAAACAGTTGCTAACGTAAACAAATGCCACGTTTCAACAACCAATCAGGATCGAGATAGCTACACTGCGTCACTTGCAGATATTTCATTCTGAACATATATATATATGTATATATGCTTCTGAAGAATTTTTTTATGTTTACTCTTAGTTTTTAGAGTTAAAAAATAAATTATATTAGTTTTAGAATGTTTAAAAACTTGAAAATGAAATTATTTATAACTTTTATCCTATTAAGAAAGTTTACTATCACTAATATTTCTAATTTCTAATACCAATTCTAAACTCTACACGTTTGTTTCAAAAAGAATTGTTCTTTCGAATTTAACCCCATTTCATACGCCTCTCGACTGAGTAAATCCCTCGCGTTTTATACACCATCTGGCATATGCTCATAAACATTATACAACTGTTACCCTGTCATGTTGAAGTGAATATTGTCTCCCTGCTTCTCAACCATTAAAGAGGTTGAAGGTGGAACCAGAAACGTTTTACCAGACTGCATTTGAACTGCAATGAACTTCTAAATCGTAATCCAAATTTTATGATACATTGATAATTTTGCTTCTTGATTTTTCCATTGTAACTTTATGAATTCCAGGGCCTCGTTATTCAAAAAATCATTTATCCTATTGTGCTTATTTTGAAACAGAAACCAATTAGGAAAAATAAAGATCGTTTTAATTTTTTTAACAATATTTTTAATGTTCTTTTTTTTAAAAATATGTATGAAAAAATGGCGCGCATAAAATCATTTTCTCAGAGGAAATTTAAGATGACGATATTTTCGGTTAATAAGCTATGGCTTACAAAAAATGTTACGGAATCTTGCCTAACCGATTGTGTTATATGCCTTATTTAAACTTTAAACTTGTTCTTTAATTATGTAACCATAAAAATTGGTTTGCAAGTTGAGATAATTATGGCAGGAATTTCCCTATTAGTTGAAGAAAATCAATCGATTAATAGTATTAAAAGGAAAACGGCACTGAAAAATTTAAAAAGAAAAATTAAAAAAAAAAAAAAAATTCTTAATATATGTGACAGTAAATAAAATTTTTCATGACAGATATTCATTCTTGATTCAATAAATAAATGTTCTTAAATAAAAACATACTTTTTTAAATCGAATAAAAACTATAAATGCAATAAAAAAATTTAATTAATAACAGAAAATACAGAGTGTACCACAACATGAAGTGTATTGTCTACAACTGAAAACACATGACAGCGAATAATATAATTTTTAGATTCCTTGCAAAAAATTAAGTAAAAAGTAGACAAATTAGGAATCGCAGATTAATATGTAAGCTTGAAAAAGAAAATACTGGTATTAAAGTCTTTCGAATCACTATTGAGAAAGGCAGAATGAAAAATATCAAAACCAGTGTGATTGCCTTATAAAACTGGGAAGTGTTTCTAACAATCGTCTTTTAAGTCATTTCTCTTTCCTACGGCAATCAAACAAGTTTTGATGTTTTCATCCTGCCTCAATTAGTGTTGATTCGTCAGAGTTCGATTGTGTTTCTGTTTTTTCTTATCTTCATTATTAATTTGGTACCTCTAATGAATGTACTATTTTTACTTAATTTTTGGCAAGAATTCTAAGAAATATATACTAAGGGCGGTGTTTGCGGAACACCCTGTATGTTAAATTTCGTATGTATTGAAAAACATACAACTAGCTTTATATTGATGCCTATATCGTGGAAATCAGCCCAAGAAACTTTATTTTAGCAACAACTTACATATAGTTTAGGTGTGACGTTGTATAACCGATTTTAACCCTCGTGCTATTTATTTTATTTATTAATTTTTGTTTATTTTTCCTCAAAAATGTACAAGCTGTTGCAGTTTTGAATAAATCGTTTAAAAAATTGAATTACTGTTTTCAGTTCACACCAAGGCCCCATAAATCTTATCTGGTTATTCAGAATTTCTTTTTTTAATATTTTAGGAAATGTTAATAATATCAAAATAGTTTTTATTTAATATTTGAGCTTAAAAGAGTCTTCTTTTGAGAAAAAGAAAATGCTGAAAAAGTTTATTGTAGGTTTCCAGAAATAAATAAAAGTAGTGGAACTATCTGTGAAGGAAACATAGGACGTTCTGCTCGATTTCCCTGTATCCTGTATACAGGCATTTCCTTTCATTTCAGCAACATTTTCTTGCCATTTTATTCAGGAAATCATTTTCGCCATCTACCCCAGTTCTTTGAAAACTGCTTTTGCGGTTTTCTCTTTCAACAATTGAGTTTCTCGGAGTAATGCGATTTGGGATGAAAGGAATAATTTAAAATTAACAAAGTACTTATTTTTAGTTTAAAAAGTTAATGTTTACAAACTTATTCACTAAGATTTGTAAAATAATTCTACTTTACTTCATTTCCCAATTTTTTTCTAGGAATCCAAAAATAATTTAAAAGTAGAAATTTTATATTTTAAAAAACGCAACATTAAGAGTTAAATTTAGTATATAAAATCTTTATCCTAAAGGATATTAGTTTTTTTTTTCTTTCTAAATGGTTATCATGTTTCTTATTTTAACATTTAATATGAATATGACATTTTAATGTTTAAAAACAATTTTCTAAGGAATATCTATTTAATTAAAAATTGTTTTTTAATAATAATTTAGGGATTTAATTAATTAAGGTACCAAAACTAAACTTTTGGAATGTAAATTGTTTAAGAGAAAATCTTTCACATAAAAAAAAATTTACCTTGTAGTTTTTTTTTTTCTTTTTAAAAATTTAGGGGTTTATTTAAAATACTTAAACTTTATAACTTAATTCTATCAAACTTATTAAATATAGTATTTTGTCGTCAGGGCAATACTGTCTGCAAAAAAATGCTTCATTCCGAGAAAAGTGGCTTGACAACTTTTCTCCTTTTTTTCCTAATGCGCACGATAAAATTTCGCTAAATAACGCTTCTTTTGCTAACACTAAAATAGAATTTAAAAAAATCTGATAATACGTTTTTTTTTTCTTTTTAAATTTTATTCTTAAATTTGTAGCTTAGCATATAAAGATGGACACATAAAAATCTCAATTTTTTTGTCACTTATGTTTTTTCAATTGCACAGCAGTATAAAACATCATATTTTTATAAAAGCGTCAAAAGTAGATATATATACGTAATAATTAAAAAATAAAGTGGTTGTCACAAATTATTTATTTTTTCCTAAAGTAGCAGACTTGAATGGTGTCAGATGACGACTATTCACAACAATTGAAAATTTATTTAAGGTTGTAAATTTATTAATTTAAAGCGTACTTAAAATGTATATAGCAAGATTTCAGAAATAATTCTTTTTTGTAGGAGTGGACGTGACAGCCAATCAAGATGAAATCTCAGACCACGAAACATTCCAACTGGAGTACAATGAAAAGACAAAAACTTGGCATATTCGAACAATGCAAGACAAATATTGGTCTCTGGATAGCAGTGGTGGTATACAAGCCAATGCCTCTAAAGGGTAATATTATTTATTACAATTAATGTTATGCAAAATAATTCCAAAGTATTTTCCAATTATTTTATATTTATTTTAATGGTGGGATTCAAACCTTTTTAAAAACCAATATCAAGTGCGCTTAGAAAAGATCGACTCCACGTATTTTTACAATATAATAAGTTAATGGCTTAAGCCTTGATCTATTAAATGTGGAAATTGGTACAAAATTGATATTCCACACAACAATCGTCCTCAGAGTGTAGAAAACATTTTAGTGGTTTTTGCACTTTGTGCATAAAGGGTTAATGATAAATCCCCACAGGGCCATTATTATTATTATTATTTTTTAAGTCTTGATTTTATAGCACCATCATTTTATCTACTAATTCATATTTTGTTAATACAATTTACAATTGGTGTTATGTAGCCGATTCTGACTTTTGTTTTAATAAAATCTATTTTTAAACTTATGGACATTTTTGGAGAAATTAAAGAACATTTTTATGAATTTTTTTCTTTGCTTACTGTTAATATATTTTAAAAGCAATATTAGTATGAAGCATTGTTAATTTTTCCAATTATAATTTCTTTTTTTTTATTTAAATAAATTATTGTAATTCACAAAATTTTGTTCCTCAATCTATTTAATGTCAATTTCTTTTAAATAGATTTCTGGTAATGGGTATCAAATTTTACTAGCCATTCACAACTTATATCAATAACTTTTTTGAAAAAGACAAAATCTTTATAATCATTATTATATTTTTATTGGTCAATAATGGTGTGCTGGCTCTTACGACATTTTAATTATCTAAAATGTGGCCTATTCATGATAAATATTATATGGGATTTTGGACATACACATACATTTGTCATCAGTACTGTTATCATTACATTGATACTATTAACATTTGTCAACAGTAAGAACGTGTATTTTAAACTCATTCAATTAAGTGTTTGAGTAAAGTAATATTTTAAGTTTAACTTTGGTACAACAATATTTAACTTTAAAAATCATGGCCATACTGAAGTAAGGAAGACAAGGCAGATTAAAATTCCTTTCAAAGATTTAGTGTATTTTAAGTAATTGTTATAAAAAATTGCTTAGAAACTCCACATATGTAAGACAAAAAACTACCATTTTGATTAACGCCTCTTCAAAATATAAATGTAAGATGAGGAAGGGCCCACAAGAGATTTCATTCTCGGCGCCGTAAAACCTGTGTCCAGCCTTTTTAAAATAGTCAATCCTCCCCCCAAGAAAGTAAGTTGAGGACAGGCTTATTACTAACAGTAGCTAAGGTTAGCTCTTGTTAGTTATAAGTCAGTTCCTACAAGATGATGAACAAGATATTTGGTTAAGCAATTTTTACCTTCATATAGTTTTCTTTACTGCTGTGTTGGTTCATTTTTCTCATTTTTTATTTCAAATATTTTTCTGTTTCTGTTTTTTTAACCTCTGAGATTAAACCCTTGAAATGTCAGTGGAAACAGGATGTGAAAAAAAATTTTGACTTTAAAAAACATGACAAGACACTAATTATGTAATGTATAATAAACTTTACCTAAGGTTACAGTTTACTAATACCCTTAACGAATTATATGTGCTACTTTACTTAGAAAGATGTAATACATTTAGTTTATGCATAGAAAATGAAATACTTTATGTATACACATAGTACAAAAGTAGTACTCAGTGTTAAAATTGTAAATTAATTAGCTATGAAACTGGCTCTTGAATGTGTTTTTGAACATCATACATCATTTTTCATTAAAAAAAGTTTTTAATGGTTTCATGAAAGTAAATTATCTATTCTTTGAATTTATTTTCTTGATATAAATACCAACTAATAAGTTATTCTTCATTCTGAAGCTCATATGAAAGAATTTGTCGAAAGAAAAAAATAAGTGCAGAGCATAGCAAAAAATTTAAATTCATTAAAGATTTTGAAAAAACTGAAAGAGATAAAAATGTATAGTTTACTGCATTCTGCATAGGTATTCCAAATATACCTGATAGTCACTAATTTCTGAAAAAGTGGGCAATGCTAAAGTTAATAATTTTAAAATTAATTAGCTATCAAACTGGCTCTTGAATACACATTTAAACATCATACATCATTTTTCATTTAATAAGGTTTTTGATTGTTAAAAAATTATAAAATATGAAGAAAAAAATCCACTATTTTTCAACTTTTTCTTTGCTTGACAGGCCATCTAGTGCACATTTTACATTGGAGTGGTTGCCAGAGGGAAATTTTGCCTTTAAAGCAAACAATGGAAAATATGTAGCTGCTAAGAAAAGTGGCCACTTGTATGCCAACAGTGACAAAGTGGAAGATATGGAAAAGTTTTATTTCTATTTGATTAATCGCCAAACTCTAGTTCTGAAGTGTGAACAAGGCTTTGTGGGATATAAAAGTGCTGCCTCTCCCAAATTAGAATGTAATAAAGCTACATACGAAAGTATATTTATAGAAAGAGGTGAAAAAGGAATATGTTATTTCAAAGGTAATTATTTTTTCTTTGCTTATATGTAGTAACAAGCTAATTGTCATAGTTATTTAGATATTACATTTATATTTTATTTAGATTATAGAAAAGGGCACTCTCTTTTAAAATCGATATTTTTTTTGCGAAATTTAGCTTTGATTGAAATAATTACATATGAAACTAAATGCAGGATTATTATAACTTTGACAAGATATGAATGAGCCCTAACATATTGTTTGAGAGAATGGAATAAAGTTTTTTGTAAAGGTACGCACTTAAAAATAGTATTAAAAATGATTGCCCGGATTTCGCGGTTGTGGCTAGTGACATAATTTCAACTTAATGCTGGTAAAATATGGACGCGCACACTGGGAGCAAAGCAATCCAATGTTTTGTAGACTATGTCCAAAAAAAAAATCTATTCACACTGAAGTAAATAATATGAAAATTCGTTTAATATCAATAAAAAAAGCATGAAAAGTAAACCAATATTTGTAAAGTGTCTTATATTTTTGATAAATTTAGCCAACTTTAGTTTAACAAGCATCTTGATTTAACAAGCAAATTGCCTCTTGTCCCTAACGCTCTCTCTATAAATGTGTTCAACTGTGTTTTATCAAATTTTTTCAGTGCTGAATATGAACCTATTCTGGTTACATTATTGACATTTTGAAAAAGAAAATCTTAGCTAATATATAGTGTGGCTTTCAGGAGAACTCCTCCAGACAGCAGTCTTGCGTCGTGGCGGACACCATGGTTATGAGGGAAAGTCACTTCGAATAGGGGTGTGTGGTGAATAGCTTTGTCATGATCTTTGCATAGGTCAGTGTGAGTAGACCAATCGACACCTTCATTTCTCCATTTCACCCCCGTTTAAAATGTGCTCTCGCTTGTTACAATAGCTGCAGACAGCCCCAGACTTTTCGTCTGGAGAAGTTCTCCTCAAAGCCGCACTATACTTCGTTGTTATTACATTTACTTCATTTCACACATTTTTCTCTAAAAAGCGTTTTGTATTTTAACAACTTAAATGTTCCTGAATATTTACTCTTAAAGTAATGTTTATGTACGGTATAGTAATAAAAACACTAATGACTTCTTATTTTTCCAGGAAACAATGGCAAATACTGGCACGCAAACAGCGACAACACCATATCAGTTGACTCTGAACATACCCAAGGATTCTACATCGAATTGAGGGAACCGTCTAAGCTGTGCATCAAGACGGAAGATGGAGACTACTTAGTTGCCGAAAAGAACGGTTTATTTAAAGTGGGTGGCCCTGACCCCAGTTCTGCAACTACATGGGAATATTAGTTTTTCTCCCAGAGAGAGAGAGGACAAAATAATGTCTTGCTCATTCAGTGTCTGTGTGTGTGTGTAGTGGCAATTTTCTTCCTTTCCCAAAGATGCATACACCAACATTTTGTATCCAAATGCCAATCAAATACTTATGCAATTTTATTTCAATTGCAAAGCATGGTGGTGTTTTATCAAATTTAGTTCCTTGCACCGTGCGTCTAACCCAAGTAGCACAGAACATTGTATAGAATATTGCTTATGGTGTTGAATTTGAACAGAAGTGCCAACTATTAAGATTCATCCATAGTTACGATTTCGTTGTCGAGATTACGGCCTCGAGTTCGAGTAATAAAAATTACGGTTTTTGAGAATTTTTTGTTGTTTACTGCGAATATTTGAAATGTAACTTAGTTTTTTTATTTAATATTAAATGCATGCATAATATTTGTAATTATTAATTTGTTTATTTTTATTGTTATTAATTTGTACTGTTAATTTGAGTAATTTGTTTATTAATTGTAATTATAATTATATTTGTAGTTAAATTCATTGCACAATATAACCTACCAAGAATTGAGTAGCAAAAAAAAAAATTGGAATTATGCATGCATTTAATTTGTGTTGTAGCACCTTGAAATAGCGCTAATTTGAAGTTTGTTAATGTTGTATGCATTATTGTACTTCTGATTATGGCAATAATAGGTAATTTGGAAAGTTGGCACCTCTAAATTTTAACTGTCGTGGTTCAATAATGAATGGATTTTGTGCTACTAGGGGAAGTTATTCGCTTGACAGTGAAGTGTCAAAATGCCTAATTTAGTATTCCTTTATTTATTTTTTTATATTGCTTTTTTTATTGATAACAATAACTTTTTCTAATTATATATATACATATATAAAGTAACAATAGGATTTTTCTCATTCCATTTTAAATACAATTCAATTTTGAATATTCTGTTTTATACATAATATCTGATCTCGCTGTTTGTATTTCCAATTTTTATATGTTTTTTACAATATGATTTTTTTTTAAGAAGTGTTTCAGTGTTTGTTATTTTCTACCTATCCAGCTACAAGTTTGTCAATTTGTACATGATTTGTAATGAAGTGAGATTTTATACCATTTTAAAAATAATAATCTAGTAGGTATGTGACAGAAGACTAGTTGTAACATTCAAATCTCCTGTCACATTTGGAATATAATTTCTGTCTTACAATTATGTAAAAAACAATAAAATCAATTTTAATAGGCTTATGTTGACATTTTCTGATATCAGCAACTTTGAGCTTTCAGGTAGAAAAAAAAATTGTAGATGGATTTTTTTTTTGTTATTATTCTTTAATAAATAAGTTAAATAACATTCTAAAATGTAACTCTTCTATAAAGCTGTAGATCCAGATAACTTAACGTTACTCGGTAAACACATAAATCAGCTGAAAACTAAAGAAATTGTCTCATTAACATGATTTAAATTGGGATTTATATCATTTGATTTTTTTTTTTTTAATAAATCATTGGATTTATACTGAAAATATTTTTTTAAAGTCTGATTTCATTAATATTGCAGGTTTTATCTAGAGAAATAATGAGGGTAGAATATATATAATTTATTTTTTGATGTTCAAAATTAATAATAAATTTTTTAAAAAAAACTAAACATGGATAAAAATTTTGTGAAACTTTTAAATTATAATAATTTTCCATTAGCTGTAAACAAAATAATTTTCTGTTTCATAACATATTTCAATTATACCCCTTTAGTTTTACGTTTATTAAGATTGAAGTACTTTTAAAACTTATTAAATAAATATTTTAAATCAATTATTGTAGAAAGATTTATATGCCAAGAGTAATTAAGAATATATTTTTTTTTAATGTTTTCTGAATCAAAATAATTTATTCTTCATTTGCTGTCTAACTGACGAATTGAGTCCGTCTTTACAAATTACAAAGGATTATAGCTTGAATAAAAGTAACTATGATTTTATTTACTCAGCAATTAATTTTTAATAATTGCATTAACTATTTTAATTAAAATTAAATATTTTCTAGTTGTGTTTTAAAATAATTTTGAGTATTTTATTTATTTTATCAGAACATTAAATAATAAATGTAAAAAATCAATAAAATCTGATTTAAATATTAAAAAAAATTCATATATAATATTAGACAATCCTATGCCTTTAATAAGTATGCGAAACATTGTTTTGAAAAATAGCTTTTAAAAGTTTATTTTTTCCTGCATGTAGTAATACTACATAACTTAAATCAATGGTACTCGGCAAATACATTCAACTTGGTGACTACTAACTAAAAACTTGCTTTTTTTTATATATTCCCTTTAATTATGTCAAACAAATTAGCATAGTTTATTAGAAATATTCATATATTTTTTTATAAAAATAAAAAGTGATAAAATTTAATATTTGCAATCTTTGTAGGTGGTTAAGTACAGTACAGAACCCGTTATCCGGAAATCGGAACAAAATTCGATAAATTTTAGGATTTTTCTTTCTTTTTTGAAAGACGTTCACCTTACCATCATTTTGGAAATAATCATTAGTGTATTACTTCATCGTTTTTTCTTTTTAAGATTATTTCCTAAAAAAATTTTTTTTAGTTGGGTTTAACAATAAAAAAACGGCTTTTTGTAGCGATTCAGAAAACCGGAAAAATCAGTTATCCGGAATAGCGATCGTTCCGGATAATCGGTTCCCTACTGTAGTAGGGTAACAACCCAATAATGTCAAACTGACTTATTTGAAAATTGCTTAGTTAGCTTGAGTTAAATTTAATAATGCAACTTTTATTTAAAGTATGCTATTGAACTTAAGTAATTTTGCAGTTTTCACATAATTTTCTCCAAAAAAATAATAATAAATAAATAAATAAAAAAAAATTTTTTTCAAGAATACATAATTTAATATTTTTGGAAAACAGTGTTATGCTACTCATTTGAGTCATTCAAAGGTCTAAACTGATTCTTAACTTTCTTTTAAATAGTTAAAAGTTTCTAGAATATAAAACAGCTATATTAAGAACAGAAAATTTTATTAGTTTATATTTTTTAAATATCAATATCACAACAGCAATATTCACATTTATTACAAACACTCATATTTGTGCACATTTGTTCAATTAAAATTAATCTATAAAATAGTACACTATACAGAATTGCAGTTGAAATATCACCATCGAGGTCAGAGTTTTTAATTGGAAAAATAAAGCTACATACTCTTCTCCCAAATTGTATTGAAACATGGTTTTAAAAAAATCGTATTGCTTAAACCAGCAGAGTTAAAATATATTTGGCAATTCAAGGTATTTAATGTTGGCAAGATAAAAAACTAGTTCTGAGCGATATACCATTAGAAAAATCGATATATCGCGATATTTTTACGATATCACATTCCATATTTGTCATAGTCAGTGATTATCATTAATTGTTGCAGTCAGTAGTTGCTATATTATTTTTGTATTAGAATTTATCATTGTTAATCATGATCAGGGAAATTTCATTTCCTATAATAATCATGCATTTCATATTTATCGTTAAAAATGGTATTTGCAATACATAGTGAGAATTTTTTCACGATTTTTTTATATTGATAAAAAAATATCGATATTTAATAATATATCGTCCAGCTCTAAAATAAATTTGTTGTTTCATGTGAGACTAAGTAAACCTATCCATGCTCGCCAACTTTTACTATTTTCACAAACCATATTTTTTTGTAGCAACCAATTTTATGCTTTGATATGTTACTCTGGGATTAAAAAACTTGCTTTAACCCTTCAACACAAAACCTTTAACCTTTACCACTTCAACACAAAAATTTTTTATAAGGACTTTGGAAATTTTCCCTCACATGTGTAAAAAGCCTGGAAAAAAAATTAGAAAATTACTAACAACTTCAATGCTTTTACTAAGAGAAATCTTAAACAAAAATCGTAAAAGTTGGGATCTGTGCATATCAAAAGTTCTGTTACTATCTAATAAAAGACAAAAGCAAATTGCATATTTAGACTTAAAACAAGAGTAGAGATTTTAGCAAGATATAGTAATTAAAAAAATATTGCCACATACTTAACACCAAATATTATAACAAACAATAAATCTATCCTAAGAAATTGAAGCAGTAAAATATATTTGTTAATAGAAAAACTTAATTTGATTCAAAAGTAAAGAAAAAGTCAATAGCAAACATCGATGACGAATAGTAGATCTTAAAAATAAAAAAAGCAATCGAAATTTGTTGATTTTTACCAGATTAAGTATTCTTCAAGCAAATTAAGTTTTTCCATTCACAAGAACAAACAACAAATGTGTTGTAAGCAACAACAAAATAAACAAATAGATTACAATTATAATCAAAAATATTTTAACTGAAGCTTCAAATATAAATATACGAACATAATTATTTCCACACCTTATGATAAATGACCCATGTATAAATGACAAAGCAAAATATCATATTCAAGAGTACATTTAATTTCAAATATAAGACAGAGACCAGCTCTGTTTAAACTTGAAAAATCGTATGCAAGATAAACAGAACACTATGTATAAAGAACTATAGTAAGGAAACGTGTTAATTCCCTAAAAAGCAATTAACATGTTTTGAGCACTGACACGTTTCTCTGCAGAACAAGATTTTCTAAGATTCAGTAAAAAAAAATTTCATAAAATAAAATCTATTGTAAAAAATTTAAACTAGTTTTTGTTGCATATTATTATCAGTTTGGATTTGTAAATGAAGCTGAGCAATTGGTTAAACATAATTCTTTATTAACATAATTAAATAATTATTACTAGTTAAACATAATTAAATAATTATTACTAGTTTTAAATTTAATAATTTTTTAATTTGAATGAATAATTTTTAAAGACATGGAATATGATAAAATTTTTTTTTACAAAATAAGCAACTAAAATTTAAAATAATCTACGCATAAAAATATTACTAATAATAAAATTCAAGAATTAAATCAGAAGGGACCAATGGTAGTAAAAAAAAAGCAAGAAAACTTATAATTGCAACAGACTCTGAAGCTAATTTACATATATTTTTTAAAATTTCGGAAAATATCTTCATAAGATAAAATACAGAAAAGCAAATTGTTTGTACTCTACTTGCAACACCCTTTTTTAAACCAGTAGATTTTAAGAATTGTATAATTTAAGTAATTTTGCTCACATTACCAAGTCATAATAAAAGTTTTAATGTGAAAGTATGTATTATTCACCATCATGTTTTATAAAACAAATACTAAAATTCTTTCATATAGTATATGGAAATAAAAGTATATGGTTTTTAGTAGTAAAGCAAAGATAGTTTTATTAAAATTAAGTCAAAGATAGATAATTATTTTTTATTTATAAACATTTGATTTTGTTAAAATCATTTTAATATTGTAACTTACAAATTTTGAAAATTATTTTATCACATTGATGAAATAGACAAAAGTTCTAAATTTTTTGCCATACCCTAGCTAGAAAGAGTCGAATTTTAACTTAATAGTTATGAAAAACTTATAACAGTTATGAAAAAACATGGTATTCGCTTATTTTTCTATGGTGAAATTGTTATGGAGTTATAAATTAATAAAAGTCGTAGTTTAAATTTTTAAAACTTCACATTTCAAATAGCAATTGCAAAAAAGCTTTGTCTATATATAAAATTAGCCTTCTAATGCTTGTTTTCGCTTGTAATTTGACTTGCTGAGCACGCATATATTCCCCTACAAAGCACTGTTTCTTCTTCACTGAATAATAGCAAAAAGCTGATTTGCAATCGGATTTTTTAAGTATCAATCAGGTCCAACCGTTCAAGAACTAAGAACACTTTTTCAAAAGATTTTTAATCATTTATATTCTTTTTTGATATGTCTTACACCAATAAGTGTCATATAAAATAAATATTATACTATTCTTTCTTTAAGAATTAAAAATAGATAATGAAAATCTAGAGTTAAAACTAATCAAGGAAGATGTAGAATATTTTTTTAAAAACAAAAGTAAAAGTTCATTGAATGTAATTCATTCTTTATCATTTTGTGAACAGAAGTAAGCAAATCTCGCTTTCATCATTCTAACACATATTCTCACATGAACTTGTATGTTCACAAGCAAAAATATAATTATGTTTGAAGTACAACATTTAATTTAAATGTTGCTTTTAGTTAACACTTATGAATTGGAAAACACAAAATAGTTTTCTATCAACTACGTTAAGTAATACTGTTTAAATAGGAATTAAAGCTCATGTGACAAAATTTTAATTCATAACAAATATATTTACAATAATACAATTAACGAAAACAATTGTATAAAATAAATGATAACCACTTCATTTAAAAAAAAAACATATTTAATGATAATTAGTTTTAATCAACTGAAAAATATTCATAAAAAGTTCCTTTTGTGTACATATTACAATTATTGAAGCATGAGTTGTAAATCAATAAAATAGAATTCGAAGATGTAAATCTAGAAATAGGTATGTATCTTTTCTTTTATATATTCAAAAAATAATTGTCTCTATAAAATGAAGTTAGAAATAACTGCAGTTTTATAAATGCTAATTACTTGTTAAACTTAAGATATAATTTTTGTGTTTTAACTAGAGCTAATTTGGAAAAAATAAAAAAAATAAAAGATTTAATAAACCATAATTAATTTTAAAAAAATTATCTTCAATACAGTAATATTAAAATGTGTGTTTTAAATAAGCAACATTCAACTATTGGATAAGAGTTCAAAACATAAACAAACATATGCATACATATAATATATAGAAAAACGTACTAAAGAATTGCTAAGCATTTGATGAACTTTGATTTTTCAGCTATGTATATAGTATCAAAATGAAAGTTATTATAAATAATAAATATGGTTAAACAAATTCAAATTTTGATTGATATAATTAATATTAAAATAGCCCTCATGTAAAACTGCAAAACGCTTTTTGTAAGAATCAAGGAATCTGCAATTGCAAAGCGATTATAGTATTTTCTTTTAAAAATTTTATGAAAATAAACTGCACAACTTTCTTAATATTTTAGTACCAAATCTATGTTCAAATGTATTTTTAAATTTGGATATTAAAATTTTGTAATTCTGGCAATCTTTTTTTTTTTTTAATTTTTTTGAAAGCTGAAAAAGACAATTATAACTTGTTTTTCTTCTCTAAAAAAAGCATTTATAAAGATTTGCATATGGGATATTCATTTCTAAAGAATATAGTCGAAATTTGCGCTTTTTACTTTATAGAAGATGCTACTCTAAAATTAAATTTCATAAATTAAAGACATTTGTTTGATTCCTAATAAACTTAAATATTTTGTAATAGTTGCAAAATGAACATTTCATTTCATGTATAAAAATAATTTTGATAAGATAAATATATGCTTTTATCAAAAACACTATAAATTGCAAAAAACTATATTTAAAAAAAAACAAAAACAATTTCAACATAAGATTTAAAAAAAAAAGTTTCCGTATTAATTTTTTTATAAAATCTACTATTATTAGAGAGAAATGTTATAAGTAATATCAAAAGAAAACCAATTTTTTTAAAAGTTAATTAATATTACTTGATAACATAGAAATAATAATTTTTTATGAAAATTCAGAAAATTAAATCATTACATAAATGAAATAATGATTAAAGGAACAGTTGCTTTATTTGTATTTAAAAAGAAAACTAAAATTAATGAAGAAATAAAACGTTATTCCATAAAAAGAACTTAATAATAATAATAATTGCAAAAATTAATATATATAGTAATACACATATTTTATAGAAAATGATAATTTTCTAATTACTCAATTTTTAGATAAGGCACTCTATTAAATTGCAATATGACATAAATACTATGGAAATAATAAAATATACGATATTTAAAACTCAACAAAGAAATCGTGTTGCAACGAAATCATACAGAACAAATATGTCAATAAAAATATTTTCTATCTCTTAATTATCTGTAAAAAATATTTATAATGAATAATAATTTTGAAAAAGAATGAAATTTTTTTTAAACTTCCTGAAATAATATGCTAAGTATTTTACAACATAAGCTGGTGATTAGTTTTGCTTGATGTTTTTTCTTATACAAGAAAAAGTAACAGCTTTAAACTTATTTATTCACTAATGTAACCAGAAGCAATGGAATGTCACAAAAAAAAACAAATAAATAAACTAAAAATACATTAACTCAACATTTTATAAGATAAAATATGCATATCAGTTTATAAAACTAAAAACAAGCATATCATTTGATTAAATATTAATATAGAACAAAATTTATCAACAAATATTGCAACACAAAGAAACTTCAGGTGTACCACTTACATAATATGGGTGGGCTAAACTGTAAAAAATAATAATTTGTAGTATTACAAGAAAATTTCTAGGAAACTTGAATTCCATAAACTTTTCTAATAACGTTACTGCATTAAACTTAGTAAACAAACTACATTTACAAAGTTTAATGCAGTAATGTTATTAGAAAAGTTTATAAAATCCCAACTCCCAAGAGATTTTCTAGCAATACTACAGATTTTTTTTCTTCTTTTTACAGTGAAGATGTGCACAACCTTTTTATGAAATGAAGTTCATCAGGCAAAATAATGATCTGTCAAGGCTGATCAGTTTTTTAAACCACTAATGGTTTAAATAATTGATCAGTCAGATTTTAATTATCCATAGGAAAATATGAAGACTGAAATTAAAATGATATATCTGTCTGTGTTGAATTTGAAACAGTTTGAGAATAAGTTTAGCTACCAATAAAAAATTTTTTACATCTTAAGATACCAAACTCACTCGTTGCTTAATGAAACAATTTTTTTTCAATCTGTAGGCTTGTTTTTGTTCTACTCTTATACATCAATGGCTTGAAGAGAAAAATAATAGGAATGTCTACTTTTTTAAAAATATACTTTCCTTAGCATGAATATGAATGTACGATTTTAAGTCATTAAAAATGGAGTAAATTGCTAAGTGAAATATTAACACCTGTAAGCTCGTTAGATATTAATATTATATTTAATATAATTGGAAATATGAGGAAAAAAAACAATTAGGCTGCACCGCAGGTGGAATGCTATGAATCTTTGTAAAATAATAGGCATACAACAGAAACAACATAGTCAACTAATTAAATACTGGAAAATAGCTTAGCCCAGTAGTTATCTAACTTATTGTCTCCTTGAATTCTTTGCAAAGGAAGTAGAATAGGTAATAAGAATGGAATGTATACGAAATAACTAATGAAATATCCATACGTAGAAATTAATGTATTTTTAAAATGTAATGTAAGATAAAATATTATTTTTAACTGTAACCGATTGATACTGCAGAATAAACACAATTAGAATTCAACATAAAGTCATTTTTTTAAATAAGCAATTAATTTCTACTTATTTTTCAATCAAATTTTTTGGGGGTATTTTAATTACCAGTGGCTGCTGTCAAGAGCATAATTAAGTGTAAATTAAGAGAAATCAATTTAGACTACTGAATAAATAAAAGTCAAATAATGCTATGCACAACATATTTTGTAACTTTTTTTTCCATTTTAAAAACAACTTCATTTGCTTTAATTAGAAAACTATTAAGTTTACTGCTTGATGTTAATTTCTCTAAAAAAATGGAACAAAATAAAACTTAAAAAAACACAATATTTCACATTCAGTATAAGCATAGTTACAGAATAAACCAATACTTAAGTGAAACTAAAATATTTTTTAAACGAAAAAAAAAAAAAAAAGAATTACATACTTTCATGTATTAAAAGAAAAAACTTGATAAGTTTAAATTTTTTTAAAGAAAAATTTTTTTGAAATTCATTTATTAAATGAGTGCCAAGAATTAGGGTTTTTCAAATTATTATTTCAACATTTCATATAATATATCTGGTATTTTCGAAGGATTCTGTAATTATTTTATTATCCTCGAAAAAAAGCTAGCAAATTATGTTAAATGGAAATTAAATTTTAAATAATGGTTAGATATAATTACAATTTTTTCAGCATGATAAGATGCACATAAAAATACATGAGAGTGACATATTTAAATGAAATTAAATATTAGAATAATTCAAATCCTAAATTGTCATTGCGAATGTTTTTTTTTTTTAAATGAAACTTTTAATAGCAATACTCTTTACACAAGAATTAAGTTATGATGTCATAAATGAATAATTAATGTAAAGGCAATAAAAGTGGTTGTAATAAAAAACTTGGCATTATAATTTAAAACAACGAATAACAGCAATTATTCACCGTGACATCACTCTAGCCACAGATGGCATAACTTCAGCCTGAATGGGACAGCATGGTATCACTTCACCATCAACAGTGAGATATCCTTCAGATTTGTGTGGCTCTAGACGGAAAGCATTCACTGGTATGACATCAACGTATGGAACATTGACATGTTCTCCAGTCTGTAAGCAAGATAAGAAGTACATAGCTTGAGCACGGGATATGCCCGCTCTTATCACAATCAACCAAATTATGCCATCATCCATTCTGGCATCTGGTGCAAAAAGAACATCTGTTGATAGATGAGTCTGATGGCAAGCATACACCATCACAAATTCATCATCCACAACAGTCCAATCTTCAGGAACAGGTTTTTCAAGAGGTGGGCAATAGTTGCTGCCAACTTTGTCCTCTTTGTCCCCAGAGTCCTCTTCCTGTTCATCATCACAGTGATGGTGAGGAATGTTTTTGGTGTCTTCCTCTTGCAGTGAACTAAGACTGGATAAATAGGAATCAAACTTGTCCCCACTGAAACTGAATTTCATCAGACGGACAGTTCTGTTGTCTGTGTCGGTGACCGCAGGCTCGTGTGTTCCGAAGCTTTTAGATCTGAACATGTTAGGTTGGATCTCTTTCTCGTTTAACGAGGTGTCTTCCGTCCATCCCTGCTTGCAATCGATAGTTTTGCTTCGTTTGGGCTTTGGTTCAATGAGGTTTTTATTAGGACCTGTGGGTTTGAAGCCCTTGACTGGTAAATAAGATAGCCGACCTTTATACTTCCGCAAACCTAGGAAAGGTATGAAAAATAATAAATTGATCTTTTTTTATTAAGACTATGTAAAAATAATAAGTATATTTCAACATAAAATGAAATAAAATCTTCATAATCAATGACAATTTTCCATTAGAGTAATACAAATGGGTAAATAATAAAAAAGTATAATATAACAGATTGCTAGTACTTTTACAAAACTGTATAAGAAAAAAAATTATTAAGAGACATAACTAAATAATTTCTTTGCTTCNATAATCAACGACAATTTTCCATTAGAGTAATACAAATGGGTAAATAATAAAAAAGTATAATATAACAGATTGCTAGTACTTTTACAAAACTGTATAAGAAAAAAAAATCTAAATAATTTCTTTGCTTCTTCAAAATTTTAACAAAAATAGATACACAAGATGCCTGGGCAAATATTTAATAAAAGATGATATTAAATATTTCATAATAAATAAAATTATTAAAGCGAATGTAAATATTAATAGTTTTATAATAAATGAAATGGTGATAGTTGTATCTCGTATCATTACAATAACACATAAAAATAGGATATAGATTGCAATTTTTTTAACAATTTCTTCAATTTTTTTGAACTATTAACCACCCAAATAAAGTAAATATTAATTACTAGGGGTCAACATACCTCTGCTTATTTTCCGACACCTAACAACTTTAACAGTTTCTTTTGGATTACATGAAGACTCTCTTTTCTCCCTCTTCAAATAATGAAACACAGTTTTCTATTATTCTTCTTTAAGCAATATGCTCGTATAAAATACTCGGATTGCAAACTTATGCATCCTTAATTTTGAAAATAACTAATACACACAATAACTGAAATAAATGCTGCTATACCTATTTGTAAAAATATACTGCACTTATCATACACCACTTAACCAATGCCAAAACCCTAGCTCCATTTTTAGAGCTCTATCTTTTAATGGCCATAGTAAGAATCACAAGTTTTGACCACAGTCAGATGACATGAAGAGCTCCTGAGCTGGTGCCTCTCTCCTCAAATTTCCCCACCACAACCAAAAAGAGAACTTTACCCACAGCAGATTTAACATGCATTTTGCTGTGTATAAACACTAGTTGTTTTGCTGGCTGCAAGGATCGAACTCACCATCCCTAGCTCTACAACCAGCAGCGTGTGCGACGCGTTAACCAACTGTGTCACTTGAGAGATTTGCTGCTTATATTCTTTTTTTCTTCATAAACAATGCATCTTAAATTAGCAGAAGATTTCTCACTTTGAATTAATAAGGACAATGATTTTCATTACTGTTTGCTTACTTCTTAAGCTCAAATACTGAATATATAAATTTAAAAATTATTATTGCAAGCGAAAATGGCATATTTTGATGGTAACCTCATGACCTGATCTTCGGACTTCATTTTATTGGGCAATTGCGGTGTAACATACTACTTTCACTATGAGTTATTGAAATTTTCCTATTTTTCATGCAATTATTTTTGTTTTAAAGCTGATCATGTCTAGAAGAAACAATATCAACCCTTTTGTTTTGTTACATTAGCCTACTGAGTAAGTAGATAATCAAAAGCATTTTGCATAATGCCAATTTTTTTTTTAATGCAATATATTTTTTTGATTTTCTGTTTACTCAAATTAATAATTTAAATAATTTAAAAATATCAAGCCTAATCAATAATATATTATCATTACATAGTTCATAAATATGTATAGTATAATTCATAAATGTAATATAGAGTTATTCATAGATGTACAGAATTTTTCTTACAAAATATAGAATTAAAGTAAAACCCTGAATACTTAGAGAAGCATTTGTTTATAGTCAATATGTTTGAGTTAATCCCCCCCCCCAGAGGATAGTTTTTCTAAAAATAACTCAAAAAATGTCAATAAATTTTTTTTTTACAATATATTAAATGAATCCAATTCACGGTGCCTTCTTTTATTTTTTATTTTTAACAAAATATACAATAAAAACATGACAGCTATATCCTTAAACGGAAAAATAATTAAGCATAAATGTTGAAAAACGTAATTAATCAAACTTATTGCCTAACTTAAATAACTAACTCTAGAAGTCATCAAGCAGTTTAATGTGTGGGAAAAGTTTCAATCTAAAAGAAGTTGTACAAAAATCTCAAACTTTATTTTAATTTTTCAGATTTAAATACCTCATTAGGATGCTACAGTTTCATCTCAATTCTATTAAGAATTTTTTTTAAAAAAGAAGAAGATGAAGAAGACCAAAACAGTATATGTTTTAAAAACAGAAGAAAAAAAAATAACTGTTCACTTAAAATGTCATCATGAAGACTATTTCCAATATTATTATTTAGGAAATCAGAATAAGCTTTTAATATCTTGCATATTGCTTTGTATTCTTTTACATTTTTTTTAACTAGATCAATGTGGAGAAATACAATAATTGTATATAATAATTGGAAAATACAATAAATGAATGTTACAAATTTTAAAAAAGCCACATTAAAAATATGGATGTGTTAACATTAATACAAAATTTAACAAAAATTTATAGCCAGAGGAAAATAATTGCATGCCACAAATTTTAAAAATTAAATCAAAAAATATAGCTGCATCAACACCAAAATAAAATAAAGCAGAAATTTAAAAACAGAAAGAAAAAAAAACTATATGTTACAGATTTTAAAAAGCAAATTGAAAAATATAACTGCATCAACATAAAAGTAAATTAACGAACAAAACAGAAATGCAATTACTCTTTTGTTTCAATATGTTTGCGTTTACAATTTCACGTTTACATTCATTATTATATCCATAACTCATAATTTAAATTAATATATTTTAAGAAATGAAATAGGATGAGAAAAACAAACCAATAGCTCTAATAAGTCCTTAAACATAATTAAAATTATTATATTTTCTAATGAAATAAGATGAGTAAACGAACCGATAGCTTTGATAATTCCTTAAACATAATTTTAAATTATTATACTTTTACAAGCGAAATAAGGTGAGAAAACAAAATGGTAGCTCTGATAAGTCCCTAAACATAATTTAAATTATTATATTTTTAGAAATGAAATAAGATGAGAAAACGAACCTATAGCTCTGATAACTCCCCAAACAGCGAATCGTGCTTCTCCGATTGCTCTTAGCCTTTCCGATTCTATATCAATGTCTGCCATGAGTCCCCATCCGACAGAGAGGAAAGAGTAAAAGCATTCCTTGGGAGATTGCACTCTGACTATGTCCATCGGTACAGTACGTCCTTTCAATAAATTTAGCACAGAGGGAGTGACAATATTGACATCATATGGTTCACTGCATAAAAAAAAATTTAAGTTTAAAGCAAATTACTTCTTCTGAGCATTAATAGAAACATATATACCATATATTCCGGTGTTTAAGTTGACACCCTATTTTTGGTTATGGGATAAAAAATTTCTGGTATGCCGGTTGTGTAAGTTGATCACTCAAAATACCAAATATGAAAATTTCTATTTTATTAAAAAATGTGGAATTTCAAACTCTTTGGAAAGAGGTGAAGAAGTTTTTTTTTTTTTTAAAAGACTAAGCAGTTGAGGATGAAGTGGAATCCATTGCAGAGTGGGATTGCTAACTTTAATGAATTCACTCCAACAAAGGAGATGCTCTGGAACTTTTAAATCTTTAGCTTCATGTTTTAAATTAGGGGTTTTCAACTGGCGGCCACCTGACTTATACACCAAGATAGACAGTAGAAAACAGCACTTTTCGAAAACAATGAAGGTTTAAAAATTTTTTAAGAAATATTATGCACAGCCAATGCAAAATAAGTATAATTTTATGATCTGACTAGAATTGGTTCTAACTATGATAACAAAACATGTTTTACTTAGAGAGCACTGAGAATTGTTTTTAACATTCTTTACCCTTTTATAGAATTGTCTAAAGTTTTCCCTTCATTTTTACTTTTATATCCTGAAATATTTATTATTATTATAATAATTAATGTTGTTGATTTATTACTAAAATAAAAGTAATCTGTTTTAGTACAAATAGCATTTTTTTAACAATTGACCATCTATTCTATTGTGGTTTTGGACATTTTTCATCAGTTATTAACCAGTTACATTATTTACACACTGTTATATTAATAATTGGCAGAATTGTAAAATGCTCAAACAGTTATATCTCAATTTATAAAGACATTTACTGCAATAACATATGCTTACACTAATAAAATAAGTATACTTGAAAATGTAAACACATGTAACAGTCGTTGTCGAATGTAACATTCGTCGAAATGTAACATTCGTTGACATATCAAAGCATTAAAAACAATGTGATAAATATGAATGACGGTGGCTGAATGGTAGCGCTTCGCACTCCTGTGCCATACGTCCTGGGTTCGATCCCCAGGCTGGGCAAGGTTGACTCTCTTTCAGTGGGTTGATAAATGAGTACCAAGCATGCTTGGAAGCTAAACACTGGGGGTTTTGCGTTCGGCTGACCACCTAATCGGAACATCTGCTCCTGCACCCTAGAGCCCAAGATCAAGAAAACTGAGATGGACACAGTAGGCCTTGGCCCTCTATGGGCTGTTGCGCTACTTAGTTTAGTTTTTAAAGCTTTTTTTAAATAAATATGAATAACTTATCTGTATTCAAAAGTAATTAAGAAATAAAAAGAGAAAATTTAATCGATAAAATTTACCCAATGGCATAATTTATAGCTCTTGCAAGACCATTTCCTGATCCACCAGGTACAACTCCAACTGGGATCTTAATTACTTCTTTCCAATCAGACCGTGCCATTAAGCCATTGTACACCTACAATCATTTAAAACAAAAATTAAACAAAATGGTATATAAAAATTTTACTGAGCAACAAAATATAAATAATGACCTTTATGTAATTAAGCATAGTAAGCTTATAAAATAAGCATACTAATATGCTATATAATAAGCATAGTTATATAGTTAAGCATATTTACAAAAAAAAGTAACTAAGTGAAACTACAACACTTTTTAAACAAAAAAAAAAAGATGAATTACATCCGTTTTAAAAAAAATTTAATTTTACTAAAAGAAAAAAAAACTTGATAAGTTAGAAAAAATTTAAGAAAACTATAGACATATAAAAAATTTTTTTTCAAAATTCAATTATAAAATGAGTATCAAGCAATCAAGATATTTCAAGTTAAGGAATCCTTATCTAATAATTATACAACATACACACATTTTGGATACAAATTTATGCAGTCCAATTAATAATCCACTTGTTCAGGAAAAAAGAATTTTATTTTATTTTATAAACGTCGCTGAACAGCCGACCCAATTACGGGTTTGCGACTACTAATCTGCACTTGCGTTACACAGAGTGGAAAAACACGAAAACCTCCCAAGGTTAGCCTGACGACAAGGGACTCTAACCCATGATCCACTAAGGATATTTTTCGTCTGCACTGCGGTTGGTGCGAGCCGGGTGTGGAATTCGTATCGATCAGCCATCGCTATGATTCAAACTCGGTTCACCTCATTGGAAGGCAAACATACTATCCCCTTAGCCACCACGGCTCAGGAAAAAAGAATTTTATATTTTATTTTAGATCCGTCGTTGAACAGCCGACCCAATTTTGGATTTACGACTACTAATGTTCAACTCCGTAGCCTTGTAATTTTGAACCCAATCCAGAAGACAAGGAAACTCCTGGATCAGTACCACCAGAGGCATTGATTTGTTATGGGAACATGGAGGACTTTGCGACTCAATAGATTTAACGTGCATCAGTCACCATTTACTACAAGGGGAGTCTTCGGCCGGCGGGGATCGAACCCACGAAGTCTTGGACATGGGCCCAGCGCCCTGCCAACCAGGCTATCCTGGCCTAGCAAAAAAGAATTTAAAAATTTAATCACATATATACTCTTTCAATGTAGAGTTAAAAAATCAGAAAATTCCCCAAGAAGCCTCTACCCTCGCCGTCTTGGATTTTAGGTTAAATTTTTTTTCTCAATATATATATATATATCTTTGTACTAAACAAACTTTTGGTGATATACTATTATTAAACAGCACAATATCTTTCAAAAGAGGTTGAAAATAAAACAATAGCTTAGGAGAAATAGTGCTTGATAATTTTTAGAATGAAATTTTTTTTAAATGAAATTGTATGAAATTTTTCTCATAACTTTAAAACAGTAAAATAATGTGATTCGTGGTTCTGGGTAAGTAATGTAGAGCTGGGTGAGTAATTTAATCAGTTCATAGACGATTTATTTTTTAAATCTAATTTTATTACATTAAATCTAAGTTAATTAAACTGGTGAAAACAGATTTGGATACCTATAAAAAAAAATCTAAGTACAGGCAATTGTATACTATTTAACTACCTATCAAAAACTGCTGATTGTAGAATTGTATTGGTATAATTAATGTCAGAAAAAATTAGTACAGAATCTAAAATACCGCACGTTTTATCTATCAAATTGTGATTAGATGGCGGCCTTGTATTTTTGTGTGTATCGAGAGATACTGCTAAATGGATTAAATATCCATTATCGGCTTAAAAGCATATTTAGAATTTTCCCTCCTGTTTCTACCCCTTTCACAGTTGAGTTCGGTCATAAGCATTTAAAGAGGAATGGCCTCTTAAAAATATTTATACATATTTATAAGTAACATAATAACAAAAAAATCTTATTAAATTTACAACATTACTAAATTTTCTGTTATTTTTTAAATTCTAAAATAAGAAATTACTTTAGTACTTAGTGACATGCGAAACCAAAATAATATGGTATAAAAGCAAAATAACCCTTGTGATGTAGCAAAATTAAAAACTTAAATAATATTACATTTTAACATCACAAATCAGATAATAAAATAAGTGAACCATTTAATATTTAAGTCGTTTTGGTGCTGAAGCACAAAAGACAAGAACAATGGCGAGACTGAAACTTATTGCTCATCATATTTTGAATCACGTGTGAGACTACCTCTTATCCTTTATTTTTAACATGAGTATACGCGCCTTAAAAGAATTATGCTCTCTTTAACACTATTTTACTCAGAAATTGCGACATAGTCTTAAAATTTATATTGTATAAAAATATATTAATATAAGTATACACATCAGTGGCAAGCTTTAATCAATGGATCCAAGGAGCTTTAAAATTTAAAACATTCAAGTTACAATAGTAAAGATTAATTTTCTGCATCATTATTTTTTAAAACTATATATCATTAAAATAATATCTAAACATCTCCTTTAACGAAATATCGCACATACACTACAATACAATCCCAAACAAAACAATATATTCTAATTAGACTTTTTAAATTAGTAGCTTTACAATCATAATATAAATATTTTAAATAAATTATTAAGATTTTCTAAACAGTAACATGTAAAGATATGTCGATGAATGCTTGCAAACGCTACACTGTTATAAATTTCTCGGAAAAAATGAATAAACGATTATTTATTTATTTTACCATAATCAAACAAAACAGTCAAATAACTATAAATAAGATAGTAATCAAACTGTAAAATTGTGAAAAAACCGTTATTTATTTGTTATTTTACCATAATCAAACAAAACAGTCAAATAACTATAAATAAGATAGTAATCAAACTGTAAACTGTGAAAAAACCGTTATTTATTTGTTATTTTACCATAATCAAACAAAACAGTCAAATAACTATAAATAAGATAGTAATCAAACTGTAAACT